TATACCTCAATTTAAAAAAAAGTGAGATGCAAGTATAAAAGGGACCTATGTATTCACATTATAACATATGTGTACCATCAAGGAGATACAACAGAAAAGCAATTAACTTGAAAATCACTGTTGGACATTGGTGTTGATTTTCACAATAATATGAAAAGTATTGAATTCTATTGCCAAAAACTGAACACCACCATAAAAAAAAAAAAAGATTGAGGAAAAATTAATTTGATTTCCATGAAAAACATCCAAAGATAAATATTTGCTTTCTTCCTGATACCTCAGCTACTTGGAATCTGAGCTCCCTAGAGCAGATATAAGAGCCTCTATGTTAGATATGCTAACAGCAAACAGACTTGAAAGAATTCAAGTATAAGAACCTGAGCCTCAGACGCTGCTGCCTCTGGTAAATAGTAAATGGATTCTCTCCCAGCCAGCTCTGTGGGCAGGTGATCATTCTACCGTGATAACAACAAAGTAACAGAGTAGAACTTTCAATTACCAGCATCTCAACCTTAGAGAGGAGATGAACATTTTCTATAAGGCTTTTATTAGATTCCCTGAATGAATATGTGTGAGTCCAAATGACCAGTTTTCCAAATAAGCACAGCTCATGTTAAGAATATGTAATCACAGGCAAATTCTCTATATAGACAATGTAAAAATGAAAAAGTAACACAATGTCTGTGCCTGGCACATCCTATATACCCAATAAATAGTTAATAATGTTTACTAAATAATTTTGATTAAAAAATAAGGCACATGGTAATAACTATTTCTGATTCAACTTATCTTCATCAATAGAAAGCAGTTTTTTTCTTTGCTTTATTCCTATTCTAATACCACATCCTCATTGATATTCAAACTGGCAAATAAATTATTATTAATAAAGATAATTAGTCCATTATAAGTAGAAAGAACATTGTGACTAATTATAAAACTGCCCTTCACCTTATAAACCTTTCTGAAATAACACACCTTCTGGCCAATAAAATTTGAAAGAATTTGTTAGGTGATTAATTTCTCATGAACCCTATGATTTTAGTTAATAAACTAAGAAAGAATATATTAGCACAGTTTAACAATACGTTGTCCACTTTTCACACGTTGGATCCCAAGGACAGATCCAATCAAAACACAATCTTCTCAGTGATCTCTATTAAGGTTCAGCAGCAAGGGAGATTTCCTTCTAAATCATACTATTTTCAATGCCCAGAAGGTTAGCAATTAACTTTGCATTTTCCTTTTTTAAAGCCTTTTTTAAAAACAAAGAAATAAATTCTCAAACAAATGGGGGTGCTTGAAATACTACAGAGTCATCAGATGGATGAAACAAGTAGGAAGTATCATCAGAGATGCCATCTTCTCTTTCAGGAGACTCATAAAAGCCTCCAGGGAGAAGACTCTACAAGTGCTCAATGTGGATAGAAACCATCAGGACAAATTTTCCTCAACCTCCCTTATAGGAGCATAAGTTCTTTTCCTATCTTCAAGGAGACATGAAGTTGACTTGAGTATCACCTTTTGTACCATCATCTTCTAAGCTTTTTATTAGAAATCACAAAACTCTCTTTTACTTACTTTCCTTAACACTTTATTTGCTGACATCACAAAAGATTTTTATAGACTATGTAGATCGTTAGCTGGTCTCTGCATGGAAAGCATTTTCTAAGTATAAAAGCAATGAATCAAAAAGAAAAGATTAAAGGTAGACAACATAAAACTGACTTGATTGCTATAAATCAAAAGGCATCTTAAATTAAATTAAAAAGCAGTTGTGGGGGGCCTCCCTGATGGCACAAGAGGTTAAGCACAGCACTGTGACCCTATCTGCAACCTCTGCAGCAAGAGTTCGATCCCAGGCCAGCCAGGGAGCTACCCACATGGTGCAGCAGTCCTCTCCTGTCTCGCCCGCTGCTCCCCTCTGCCTCTGGTGAATCCTCTCACCCCACACACCTCTGGCCTATACCCCCGTTCTTGCATGCATAAATAAAACTTTTAAAAAAAGCAGTTGTGGGGGAAATGCCCCCATATGACAAGTAAGGTTTAATAGAGCATACAAATCAGTATCAGGCCAAGAGCCCCCAGTATTTCCCTCCTCATCCATACAAGAAATTGCAAATTCCCTACAAAATAGAGGGTACAGTTTCATGTTTGAGAATCTCTCTACCTCTCATAATCTGCTTTGATCCTTTGCCTCCTACCTGAATGCCCTCTTTCTTCTAAGCCCTGTAAGACTGAAGACTCAGATAAACAGCAAAATCAGCCTAGGCCTGATTCCAGATTTTCCCCAAGTCCCAGTCTCTGAAACATTGCTTTCTCTTTCCCCGGAGGCTTGCAGGCAAGTAACAACTCGCCCCAGGCTCCAGGGATACCTTAGCCAACCAACCAACCAAAGCCCAGTATACTGGCTCCTACCTGGGCTGGGGGAGACAGAAATCCAACAATTAAACTATTAATAAAAAAAACAAACCTGAGACTCCAATATAAAAATAAGTAAAGAATGTGTATAAGTAATTTGCCAAAAAAAAAAAAACCTAATATCAAACAAGAATGCTTTTTTAATTCAAGTAACACTGGTTTACAACATTACATACAATTTAGAGGTACAGGATCACACTTCAGGTGTATGTTACCACACTACACCCACCACCAACGCGCCCGGAGTTCTCCGCCAAAGTCCATTGTGCCCTGTTCCCAGCTTGCACCCCCTTCCCATGGTAGCCTCAAAGTCAGATTTCTAGGGTTTGTTATTGGTTTGGTTTTATCTCACCTTTTTTTTTATATTCCACATGTGATACCATTAGGTATTTGTCTTTCTCTTTCTTACTGCTCTTAGCATAATCCCTTCCAGTCCCAACCATGTTGCTGCAAATGATGAAACTGCATCATTTTTTAGAACTGAGTAGTACTGCTGTGTGTGTATGAGAGTGTATCTGTGTGTGTGTATGAACCTTAGCCTCCTACCAAAATCATACTCAGTAATGTAAATGAATATTACCTTAATAAAAAAATAAGGAAAAACATTCTCTAAATATGATTTTTAAAAAGTCTTGGTATGGATGTAAAAGTATATAATCACCCAATTTATAGGGATACACTGAAGAGTTGTATCTTTACCTATGAGCAATGAGAAATAATTATGGATTTGGGGGTTAAGGGAGGGGAAGATGGCTCTAATCATAATCAAAAGATTACCCTAGCTGCGGTAGAAATAATAATAAAGGATGGGGGAATATCTTTAGACCAGCTAGGAGGCTACTACAGAAGACCAGGCAGGAGATAATGGTAACTTGGTCTAGGGAGATAGTGGTAGGGACAGAAGGATTTGAGAGTAGTTTGAAGATAAAATAAATAAAACTTGATGACTTATATATGGAAGTGCCAGGGAGTGCCAGGTGTCAAGTTTGAATCCAAGATTTCTTGCTTGGAAACCAGCTGGATGGATCATGGTATGACTCCTTGAGATAGAAACACTAGAGATTTACATGGTGTTGAAATTTAAGTGTGAGACATCTGCATAATTTGAAACAATGGCACAGAGGAATGCATAAAGCAAGGAGAGAAAGACAAGGGTCAAACCTTGGAGTGTGGTTTTTGTTTTTTTTTCCCATTCACAGAACCTTCCTCCAGTGTGTGACTATACTATTTCTGGTTGGCTATTGGAGTTATATGGTGGTCAGACAAAACAAAACAAAAAAATACCCCACACCTCCTTAGCTACGGCATGCAAATATCCCTTAACATCAACTCTCAAGTGCTTTACATTAGCTGTTCAATAAGCAGTTTCACATACAGGCTCCTTCAAGCCTACAACTTTGTCGGTAATTATAACCTGCATTTACAGATGAGGAAACTGCGGTAGGGTGCGAAAATGACCTGTCTAGTACCCAGAAAGTCACACTGTCGCCTGTGCGCATCTGTAGCCCGACTCCCTTCATTTTGTAGCTTAAAAATCTCTTAGAATGGAAAAGTTCTCCCTTCTCTCTCACCACCTGATTTACTCTTCCAACAGCATTCATCTCTAACAACTCTGTCCCTCTCCCTGGTTGACAACACCAGGCCAAGCACCTGCCGACCACGGGCTGTTAACCAAAAAGGAACAGCACCGAAGAGGATTAACACTAACTCGGGAGCCTATACTGCCCTACAGATGAAGCCCCTCACATCCCCACCTGTTGTAGAGCAGCCCCGATACAAAACGGGGTGCCTGACTGTGGGTCCTCACCCGCGCGCTTAAAAGGACTTATCAATGCTCTACTGCAGGCACACGCGAAAGGTTAATAAAAGGTTTATTTACAAGGGAAGGGGAAATGAGGAAATGTACAGCTCAGGAAGAAAAGTGGGAGACAAAGTTTTATATGAGTCCTACCCGATCCGCCGATCAGGAATCCCAAATGGCCTCTGAGAGCTGGCCTCGAGCCAGGAGCTGTGTAGCCAGGAGGCCAGCGACAGCGAGCCCCCCAAGGCCCACGTGTTTGGTTTTTATACCCAACCTGGCTGCTTAACTCCACCCTCAGGTCCCAGCCACCTTCCCTTTGGTGGTGATGGGATTTGTCTTTCCCAATGTCTTGATGGCTCTGGTCTGGAGTGGGGGTGGAGTCCACAAAGCCTGTGTGGGATTAGCTGAGGACATCATTTCTCCCTAACACACCCACCCCCAAATAATTCCAAGACCACCACCATGCCCCATCCAAAGACTCAGCTGCTTTTAGAGTATCAACTCCGCCCTCTCCCTCGGCAGCCGCTGCCAACAATAAACTCTGTGCAAACAGTCCCCTGGGTGGGAGCTTGGCTTTCTGGGCAGTGAGCAAAGACCCCCGTTGGGTCCGTTAGGCGATAGCTGTGTGCAAGGGACTGTATGACATTCTGTAAGAAAGAGCTACCCTACAATGAGGTCCGACTAAGTGCCAGTGGCTAGGACAAGAGAGGGGCAGGGGGTGCGGAGAATAATTACGACTTCAAAACCTTTAAGAATGTTACTTTTCCTAAATCACACTTACCCTATGTTCGCTTTAAATTTTCAAACAGCTTCACTTCTCAAGATGGGGTGGAAGTGAGCAGGTGTAGGAGAACCGGCGGCGCAGCCAGGGAAGGGGTCACCCCGCACTGCGGACCCGGGGAAAATGGGGGTCACGACCGCTCGGCCCCGGGAGACGCCAGGAGCGGGGGCAGGCCTCGGCCCGGTCCCTCCGCGGCTCGGGGCCGCCAGCTGACCCGGCAGCGGGAGCCCCGGAGGCCCGTTTGCCCTCGCGCTGCCATAGCAACGCGCTGCCTCCCGCGGGGCCCGCCCTGCGCCGCGACGCCCGCGGCTACTCACCCCGGCTGCCGGCCCGCCCGCCCCCCACGGGCGCGCACCTTCGCGGGGGCAGCCGCCCGGCGCGGCTTCCCGCACCTGGAGAAACTTTGCGCTGGCGGAGCCGCCGCGGCCTGGAGAACGGGGGCCGCGCGGGGACAAACGCGCCGACCCGCGCCCCGGGCGTCCCGGCTGGGAGGAGGCGTCCGCCGGCCTCGGGCGCGCGCAGAGGCTTCTGTCTGAGCAGCAGGTCTTCAGGGCCCACCTGAGACGCCTGTTTCGGGGACAGAGAAGTAGTCACATGTTACACGAAATTAGAAGTTTAAAACAGTATTTTCGTGGGACTGAGATGAGAGCCGGGCCAATATTCTCACTCAGGGCCGAGGCCTCATTGCCCAGCCCGCTGAAGCTGGGGCTGCAAGCCTTGCACTGGAGTGAGTGCCAAGCTAGCCAAAAAAAGGCTGGGAAATGAATTTATATCCGTGATGGGAGGAGGCCCGGGGTGGAGGGTGTGTGTCCCCACAGAGAGGCCAAGAAATCATCTGACAGGTCAAATGACAACTCCCAGGAATATGTTTTAGCCACAAACCTCTGCGGGGCCATCCAATGCATAACCCCTGCAACAGAGGCTGGAATACAGACTCCAGCTGTATGCTAATTTATTTCTTGACCTGAACAAGGAATGACACATGGGTCTTGCTCTGTAGCAGCTGTAGGGAAGAATTTCCACTTCCTAATACTAACCTAATTTCAGGCAGATGTACTCTAAAATGTACTTGATTGGTAGCTGATAACTTGATAAAGCAGTTTCATTGATTTTATTGCTTAAAAGTAGAGCTACATTTGGCTACTCATTCATCTTGTTCATCAGAAAATTCACAATGGCCATCATGAGCAACTGGTGACTTCAGTTTTGCAAATTTTCCAGGCTCAAATAATCCATACCACGTCCTGTCCTGTAAAACTTTGGAATCACAACCAGATTTTGTTCTGGAGAAGTACAGAATTATTGTTTAAATGGGGTCTGGAATAACGTGCAAGGCTTTTCTCTCTTCCTCTTTCCCCTGACTCTGCTCCTATCCAAGCATGAATTTAATGTCACAATGTCCAACAAAAGGAGATAAACTCTACCATCTGCTTCATTGGACTGTGACATATGGATCTGCCTTTAATCGGAAACTATGAAGGCTTAAGTTCCAGGTCCTTATGAACAAATAACTTTGAACTGTTCTCTTCTTCGTGTCTAAGAAAAGCCTGGTTGAAAATCATTGTAGTTATGGAGAATTGTTTGAACAGCATGCAGATGACCCCATCCTCTGTCTATCCTCTGGGTCAGTGAGTCTGAATCTTGACTACATATCACAGACTTCTCAGGGGAGCTCTGCTTCTTTTGCTTTATTTTGTGTTAAATATAGATTCACAGGTTACATTTCCAGAAATTCTGATTGAGTCCATGAAACCATGTTCAAAAGGTCTTCAAGTAGATTTGATACAAAGTCAGGCTGGGGAACCACTGGATTATATCGTATCCTAAATTTAACCAGACTCAAAAAGCAGTGTGTTTGTACCACTTCACCCTTGCAAAATTGCCTGAACCATAAGGTTTTGTCCTATGCCATCTGTTTATCTTAAGAGACACTGTTAAAGAAAAAAACACATACTCATGCCACCTCTGCATTTACTAGAGGGATTAGTATTTAAATGATGTTTATTATCTCCCTATAAGCAGAATCATACCAGATTACCCAGCCCATACGTTTTTCAAACTTTTGGGACCATGATCACCAAAAAGAATATATTTTACATTATGACCTAGTATATGTGTATTTACACATTTAAGAACTAAAACAAATTCCATAAACTATTACTCATAAACTATTACTCCATAAACTATTACATGCTATGCATGCTGATACTTTAAAATATCTTTTTAATGGTGGTTTTCACCCATAAAATGATTTCTTGATCCCTATATGAGTTGTAAGTTGCACTTGAAAAACAGCAATATAACTAGCTGTCCCTTTCTGGAAACTAGTCCACGATCTTTAGACAATGTAACTAGGCTACCCAGTCACAGTCAGTTGCTCCAATATAGTACCAGATTCAATCTGAGCCAATCACATCCCTTTCCCAGAAATTTGAAATTAAGACTGCGAGACTTGAGTTTTTCTCTAGGTAGCTAATGTGGAGACATAGAAAACTGTAAGAGAAAATCAGGAGCTGTCCACTGATGCTTTGCCAACATGTGACCTGGAGAAATGCAAAACACCAGACTGCAGGAAAAATGAAAATAGGAAGAATGAAAAAAGACTCAGAGAGCAGAAACAAAAAGAATTCTGACAGTTTTCCATTCCCTGACCAAAGCATTTCCTGAAATGAGCTGAATCCTCAGCTTTGAAGTCCATGGACTATTTTCAAATCTATCAAAAAGATCCTTTTTCACTTAAGTTAGTTCAAATGACTGAATTTCTGTTACTGCACATAAAATGATCTAATTATATTGGTTTTATAAGGATGTTGCAACAAATTACTACAAACTTGATGGCTTAAACAATACAAATACATTATCCTGCAGTTCTGTGTCAGAAGTCTGACACAGGACTCACTGGACTTAAATCATTGTCTACAGGGGTGGTTTCTTTCTTCAGGTTCTAGGGGAGAATCTGTTTCCTAGCCTTTCCCAGCTTCTGCAGGCTATTTACATTCCTTGGCTCATAGCTCTTTTCCTCTAACTTTAGAGGCAGCGACATTGCATCTTTCTGTACTTCTGAGATCCCATCTCTCTCTTATTGTAACTAAAAAGGTTCTCAACTTTTAAGGACCCATTTGATTAGATTAGACCCATCCAGAAAACCCAGGATATATTCCCCATCTTAAAGTTCTTAACTTAATCACATCTGCAAAGTGCTTTTTGCATATAAGTTGACATATTCATGGGTACCCAAGATTAGGAGGTAGACATCTATGGCGGGGAGGGGCTACCCCACTGAATAAAGTCACTCTATGCCCCTTATAGGAAGGTCCATGCAAAATGTAACCTGAGTGCCAGAAAAAAAAAAAAAAAATTCCCCTTGAAAAACTGAGATCCCTTTTCCTTGTGACAAAAGTATACCATGAGGGCCTCCCCTGGTGGCGCAGTGGTTGAGCGCTGGGCTGCGAAGCTGTCAGCAGCCTCTGCAGTGCAGGTCCGATCCCTGGCCACCACCGGGCAAGGGTGCCACATGGCGCGACAGACCTCTCCTGCCGCCCGCTGCTCCCCTCAGCAGTGTACTTTGTCAGTCTGCCTGCTCTGCTCTCCCCTCTGGCTCTGGTGAATTCTCTCACCCTCCCACGCTTCTGACCGTACCCAGTGCTTGTATAAATAAATAAATAAATCTTTTTTTAAAAAAAAAGTATACCATGAACTAGTCACATTTTCCTCTTCACATTGCTTCCACGAAGAACAGAACCAAATTTGCAGCTTCTTCAGTAACGTGTTGAACTCTGGCTTGCATAGTATCATTACAACTTTCACTAGTTCTCTCATTTTTCTCTCACTTCTACTTTAATCTTTTTGTATTAATTTCATTGTTTTAACTGTATTGTTTTGAGCTGCTTGTTATTTCCTCTGCCTATATGGCTCTGCCACCAACCTCCACAAGTCTGGCTCCTTTTCAACATTCAGCTCTCAGCTGGCTTGCCACCTCCTCAGAGAAGCCTTCCATGATTTGCCTATCTAAACCATCTGTCTAAAATAGTTCTATCCCACAGTCTATCACATTACTCTCCTTTGCTATATTACAGCATTTAAGAGCATCTAAAGCAATCTCATTTATTTTATTTCTTCCCTCACCAGGGATTAACTTCCAAGACAGTAAGAACCCAGCCTCTTTTTTTATTGCTTGTTCCCCAAACCTGGGACAGTTCTTGGCACCTAGCAGCTATTTAATAACAGTTGTAGCATTAGTAAATTAAGGAAAGACTGGGAGAAAGGAAGAGAGACAGGAAAGATAGAAGAAAGAAGAAAGGGACTTTACAGAACGTGATAACATAGAGATGGATAGACAGTAGGTAAATAGACTGACAAATAGACAATACTCATTTCTAGCATGTAAATGTCACTAACAGTCATAGAGATGTTCAGAGAAATCACACAAGGAAGTAAAACACAATTCTCTAAAATATGTACATAAAGGCACTGGATTTTCCTGAGGAACCCTGGATGTAAATATCTTAGACAAAATATTTTTAAAGTTTTCAAGTGGCTCAAAGCAGTTACATTAAATATTATAGCTAGTTACCACAGCTGAAGTCACCAGTTGTCACTGAGATAGTGTTTGCAACACCATGGCCACTAACATGACAAACTCTGGACACTGCCAAGGGAATTCAATCTATTCCAGGGGCTGCTCTTGTTCTATTCCTACAATTATTAATGTCACCATTGGCAACAAGTGTTATATGTTATTTACTTAAACACTCTATGGTAACTTCTTTGTTACAATGCGGTAGGTATCAAATTGCTTGACATTGAAGATCAGAAATGAAGTTTGTCCGTATAACAAAATATAGTAGCAATTATTACAGTTTGTTCCAGGCTTTGTTGATCCTGTGAGTAAAAATACCATGTTTGGGGCCTCCCTGGTGGTGCAGGGGTTAAAGCCTCAGTGCTACCAAGCTATGGCCACTGCTGCATGAGTTTGATCCTCAGGCCAGGGAGCTAACCCACATGGTGTAGCAGACCTCTCCTGTCTCACCTGTTCCCCTCAGCAGTGCATTTCAGTAAATCCTCCTGTTCTGCTCCCCACTCTGTCTCTAGTGATTCCTCTCACACACACCCCACCTCTGGCCTACACCCTAGTTCTTGTATGCATAAATAAATAAAATAAATCTTTTTTAAAAAAATA